TCGAAGTGGTGGCTCATGAATGCCCACTTTGGCCAATTTAATTCAATAGAGATAAACATGCGGTTCTTCGTATTGTCCAAGCAAAATTAATTAAACTAGCTCACTTTTCTGTAGGTTATTTATTACTTAGCCCTTGTTTGACATCTATTTTAAGGAAAGAATGCATTTTGAAGTAATAGATTGATAGATGATGTGTTGTTAAAAATTAAGGAAATTTTTTGAATCTGCATGTAATATTCTTTTATTGGAGAATGTACGGTGGAAAATGAATTTTTAGAAAAATGGGGCTCAAACAACCTTTTATGCAACTTTCTTCTTCTACATCGGGCAAATTTGATTAATATTTTAATGTGTTGTATCCGTGATAATGTTAGTTATTTCAATGGAGATAAACCATTTTGGCAAGGAAAAGATGGTATTGGAGGGCAGTGATGCTTTTGTTTCAAATTGTCATGTTAGAAATGTGCTTTTGATTGTCAATTATCCATAGAGATAGAGGTTGGAACACATAGATATTAAATTTTTTTCCCATGCACATTTATAGGGATGACAAAAAATCTGTTAAACCCGATACCCGTGGGTTCCACCTCAAATAGGGTAGGGATTCCTCATCTAACCGAGTAAATGGGACGGGGCTATTGCCTCGTTACTCACCTCGTTTAAAGTTCATTTCAAAATCCAAATTTTTTATCACACAAAAAGAAAAGAATCGTCATCATTTCTGAAGAAAACATAATTTTTTTAATAATTTTTACCAATTAAAAACATTCAAAAAAAATGAGATGGTAAACGGACAAGGGATCCGCCCCAGCCCCACCTTAATCAAGTATGAGGGGCAAGGCAATGAGACAAAAATACTTGACAGAAGGAGGATGTGAATGACTATCCAACCCGACCCGACCCGACCCGACCCTGACCCAAATCACAATTTGCCCATTGCCATCTCTAGTATTCTACAATTATAATGCTAAAGTAAATGACTGCCAAGTGCCGATCACCAAATTTTTTACCTAGAACTGCTAATCGTTATTTCATATTAAGGTTAAAATTACTAATATTTTATTGTACTATACAACGTGCGATGCACGTTTACATAATAATTAGTTAAAAGTCCTTCACATTTCGCACACAATATTCAAAGCCAACGCTACCTGGGTGCATTGGAGAAAGCTAAAAGAAATTTCACAATTTCATAGAAGAAAAAAATATTTTCATTTAATCAATAGCCTATGGTAGGGTGGCAAAAGGATCAAGTAGTTCGTCGGCTCGGGCTCGTTTCGGGACGAGCACAAACCCGAGCCAAGCCGAGGGTTCGCCATGCTCGGTTCGTCTCGCAAACGGTTCGTGGACTCGTACAAAATGTGAAGAAAAAGTAAAAATTAAAAATTAAAAGAAAGCACACGAGCTCGTGGGCTGGCTCGACTCGGCTCTCGAGCTCGAGCTCGACTCATGCTCGAACGAGCCTAGTATTTAAATATGAACAGGTTGGTTAAGTAATTGCTATTAAATCTGTCATATTGATTGCTCAGAGAGTTGACTACTTATTATTGTTGATTTTAATTATAGTAAAAAATAATTATATTAAATTTTATTTGTGATTAGCACTCATCTACGTGATATTGAGATTATTATTATATTATTAAATAATATTGACAGTAAATTTAGCCATTGTTCGGGCTCCAATTTTTCAAGTGAATGTATTTTAGAATAGTAAAAAGTTGAAAAATGTTTGGTTAAAAAATAAAGAAAATTTTTCGATTTACGTATAAAATTATTTTATAAAAAAATGTACGATTGAAAATGAGTATTGAAAAAAATGAATTTTTTTAAAAAATTGAGTTAAAAAATGGGCTTATTATCATATAGACATGTGTTAAGTAACAATGAATCTAAAGTACGAAAATACGTGAGAACGATAACATATCACGTGATAGGAAAGACTTAAAATTTTTTTGATCTTTTAAAAATGAAAAAGCTAAGGGCATATTTTCTTTACCATTTTCAAGCCGTTTTCTGTTTTCGATTTTTTAAAACGGCGAAAACGCATTTTATTTCCTAGTTTCGAAAACGTGTTTTCGAAAACAAGTTAAAAATTTATAAAGATGAGTGTTTTCAGTTATAATAAAGTAAAAAAAATTTAAAATGCGTTTTGGGTGTTTTCAAAAAAAATTTCAAAATGTCAAAAAGAACACATTTTCAACAATTTCAAAATGGACACTCAAAACATAAAATCTAAAATGAATTCAAAACTCAAAACACAAAATTGAAATACAAAGAGAACAACTCCTAACTTATTATTAGCAATAGGAACTAGAAAGAAAAAGAAAAGTCATCCATCTTTAATTATCCTCACACTTGTATTAGAGCGCCCCCCCACCCCCTCCCTCTCGTCATTGAATCCGCTGGCATCTGCTTTAATTAATTAATTTAATACTCATTTAATTATTTCAATTCAATAATTCAAATTTGACTGCGTAAAACTTGTTGAATTGAACATTAAAATATTGACCATTCAAATCTGCATTGATTTATTTTTCTTGGACGAAGAAAAGAAGAACCTAAATACATCCCTCAAAGAAAAATATATTTTGTCCACTTCATCTGTAGCCGCCTTTGGAATCAATCTCTCTCTCTAGAAAGATATATACATAGACGTGCGCCCACCGCATTACATCCCTAGAAATAAGAGAGAGATATATACACGTAAACACGCATTATGTCTACTATCAATGATATAGCCAAGACTAGAATCCACAATAGAGGCAAGTACGGCTAGACAAAATTTTGGAATAGAATTGGACTCGAACAAAATCAAATCGAGTGGTTCTTCTTAATTTAAATATCCGAATGTGTATCACAATCTAGAATCGGCAGGTTTGATTCTATTCTTGGTTCTAAATCAAGAATCAAAGAATTGAATAAAAATTCAACCTCCCTAATTTTTTTGAGTAACTTCTTTTAATATTTTCATGTTTCATTTGCCAATTAATTAATTGAGCTCAAAAATATCATTTTTATATTTCATTTACCAACTAATTAATTGTGCCCAAAATATTATTTTCCTATTTTCAGCCTAAACCCGGCTTTGTAATTCAAATTTTAAAGAATCAAAATTGAGTTACCTAAGTTTTTCTAAATCATCCTGTCATTTTTCAAATAATCGAAGTTAAGCGAATGTGCCTCTCTTCATCTTATCATTTTTTTGCCATATTTATTGAATTTTATAAGTATTAATATAGTGTTGTGGTAAGAGTTAAGATTAAACATGTCATTTATTGGATTAATGTACTGTTGTTGTAAGTATTAAAAAATCTAATTATAGTACATAACAAAATGGAGTCGAACCAAATCGAATTCCATAATTAAATTTAGATTTGACGATTCAATTTATTAAATATTTGAAAATTCTAATTCGATTTGGTTCTCTTTAGAACCGAACCAAATTGGACAATGTCCAATCCTATAGACAAGACTTATAACTACTAAGTGCAGATTTAGATTACTGAACATCTAGCCCCAGTTTGGCCTCCATTATTTGAAATTGAATGGTTGGAATAATATTTTTTTGAAAAATGTGGGATTAAAAAAGATTTTTTTTTGAAATTACGTGTAATATTATTTTATTGTAAAATATATGATTGATAAAAAGAGAGAAAAAATAAATTATAATTTTAATAAGAATCAAACATCGGCCTAATGTGTCAATTTACAATTGTCAAATGAATAGTATTAAAACTCACATTTCAAATCGACTTGAGGGATATGATTAGTAATCTTTTACTAATATTACTCAAACAGGGCCTATAGACAAGAATTTCAACAAGGGCTGAGGCGAATTCTTTAAATCCCCGTTTGAGCAGCATCTCTCTAAGAGCTTGTATGGGAGGGATTAAAATCAGATTAAAATTGAAAATATAGCCGTTGCAGTTGATTTTTATTAGACAAGTGGGACCCAATAACGACTATATTTTTAATTTTAATTGAATTTTAATCCTTTCCAAATAAGCACTAAATCTTTACTTTCCATTGTTTTTCAGTAGTCAAGTCCATGGAAATTCATTTTCCTTAATTGTGACTCTACAAAACCAACCTTTTACGAAAAAAAGTAGCCTTTCGTATCGCCGGCCCGCAAGTGCCTGATTTAAACATGCTTTCCTTATTCCTAAAATCCAAGATCCTGAAATCAAATCAGCTAAAAATTGTCCAAAATATAGAAATCTGTAAAGAATTGATTGGTTTACTTTTGTGCTCTATCGAGAAGCATTGAATATTCCACCAATTGGCTGATTCTTTGTTATAATAGAAACTTCCAATAAATTAAAAGAGATGTTACTTGTGTGTACCGCCCCTCACAATAAATCCGCTTCTTTGTTTTTTTGGAAGCGGGCCCCCCTATTGGGGGACCTACACCAAGTTGTAAAAGTAGACAATAAATTAATGTACCTTCTGTCTCTTCGACTCCGTCTCTGATCGTTCCTTCTTTTTCCCACTAGTTATCCATTTTCTTTATTCATCTAAAGTATTAAGTACCCCACCCCCACATACCCAATATTCAATAAGAATTCATTCGGGATCAGATTAATCATCTTATGCATTTGTTTTTACTTAGATTTTTTCTTTTGAGAAATGCTATTCATCTTCACTGAGAATGCATTCTCAGTCTATGTGGCGTTAATGTGGTATTAAATAATAGGTGACACTTATCATTCAACCAATCATTTACATCTACGTGGGGATGCATCCCCATTGGGGATGAATATCATTTTTCTTTTCTTTTACTTTGTTGGGTCATTTTCTTGATTTCTTCTGTTATCTATTATTCCCATCGTGATTAACAAGAAAAATCTCTCTCTTTTTCCCCAGCTTTCTGCTATTTTTGTCAAACGTTTATTTGTCTGGTGAATCACAAGATAGACTTCTTTGTATACTTAGATAAAGTTGATGCCTTTTAGATCCATCATTTGAGTAATTCATAGCTATCAGCGCACATTCTAGTAGTTATGGCTCACCTGGTGTATTCTGATTCAATGAATGGTGGATCACAGCATGGTCAAGGTGTGGAATTTTTTCCATCGAAGACAGGGTCCCTAAAAGTGTTGCTACTACATGGGAATTTGGATATTTGGGTTAACGAAGCTAAGAATCTCCCAAACATGGATTTATTCCACAAGAAGCTTGGTGATATGTTTGGTAGATTTGGTTCTAAAATGGAAGGGAACACGACCAACAAGATAACGAGTGATCCTTATGTCACAATCGCAGTCTCCAATGCGGTAATTGGTCGAACTTTTGTGATAAGTAACACTGAGAACCCTATTTGGAGGCAGCATTTTTATGTTCCAGTAGCACATTATGCTGCAGAAGTTCAGTTTGTGGTTAAAGATAGTGATATTGTCGGCTCTCAGACTATGGGGGCTGTTGGGATCCCGGTGGAGCAGTTATTTTCCGGGGAAAGAGTCGAGGGTACTTATCCCATACTCAATGCGAATGAGAAACCGTGTAAAGCCGGGGCTGTTTTGAGTCTATCAATTCAGTACACACCAATGGAAAAATTGTACATTTATCATGGTGGAGTGGGATCAGATCTTTCGTATCAGGGTGTCCCGGGTACTTATTTCCCTCTAAGGAGAGGAAGTAACTTGACCCTTTATCAAGATGCTCATGTGCACGATGGTTCATTACCGAATTTGTGGTTGGCGAATGGGATGCTGTATCAGCATGGACAGTGTTGGCGGGATATTTACGATGCAATAGGTCAGGCTCGACGTTTAGTTTATATTACCGGGTGGTCTGTTTACCATCTAGTTCAACTTGTCAGGGACGATCCAAATGCAACAGATAGCAGCTTAGGCAAGCTACTGAAAGTCAAATCACAAGAAGGTGTGAGAGTGCTGCTTCTTGTATGGGATGATCCTACTTCTAGGAGCATTCTCGGATATAAAACTGTAAGAACTAACTCTATAGTGTTTTCCTTTTTCAATTGCAATGGAACTTGAATGCAGTATAGTCTTTTTAAATGAAATTTTGGACTTAGATGTGATTGAGTCTTTTCAATTGCTCAATTTTTCATTTAATTTCCTTGGTATATACAATCATCATCGAGCTTATTTATCTCACTCAACGCTTTGCATTGTTATGCTCTGAACTCTTTAAGATTGTAAGTAGTTCAATTTATCAGTACTGAAGGTTTTCTAATACTAATCACACTCGATGCTTTGCAATGTTATAGTACGAGAAAATTTTGACCCCTGATCAGCCTGAAGGTCGGTTTAAACATGCCATGTCAGTATAAAGGTTCATCACATGATCAGTATCTTTTTAGTGTGTTCTGGTTTTGAATAAATATGCAGTCTTAAAATGTTCGCTTATACGGCATTTGTATAGTGGTAGTTTTGGGTGAGTTTTATTTTTATTCTTGCATCTGATGGTCTTTTGTCACTTTCTATGACATTCAGGAAGGGATGATGAATACAAGTGACGAAGAAACACGTCGTTTTTTCAAGCATTCATCAGTGCAAGTGCTGCTGTGTCCTCGAACTGCTGGGAAAGGTAGCTGGGTCAAAAAACAGGTTGGCTTCTTATAATCCTCTCTAAGGGATTTACGCACTAGTAGATAGTATAACAAACGAGATGTTAGCTTCTTTTTCTTAATACTATCCAATGCTATCTAATCCTGTTTGTTCGTTTTGTCTACAGGAAACTGGTACGATCTACACTCATCATCAGAAGAGTGTGATTGTAGATGCTGATGCTGGTAATTTCAGGAGAAAGATCATAGCATTTGTTGGAGGCCTTGACTTATGCAAGGGCCGATATGATACGCCAAAACATCCAATTTTTAGCACATTACAAACTGTTCACAAGGATGATTATCATAATCCTAATTTCACAGTAATTTTGTACAAAATTTTTATGTTGTTTATCTTGCCTATGATCTGTATTTTGCTTATTTATGTAAGTTGTAACTAAACAGGGGCCTGCTGTTGGTTGTCCAAGAGAGGCATGGCATGATTTACACTGTCGAATAGACGGTCCAGCTGCATATGATGTCTTAACTAATTTTGAGGAGCGTTGGTTAAAGGCGTCAAAGCCTCATGGCATAAAGAAAATGAAAGCAGCACATGACGATAACTTACTCAAGCTTGATAGGATACCAGATGTATTAGGAATAGAAGAGGCTGCCTACCAAAAATTAGATGATCCCGAGACCTGGCACGTCCAGGTCTGATCAAATCGAATTTTTCTTCAACTCCAATATTTCAAACTGTAGTTTCTTCTTGTACATTTGAACTAATTTATTGCATTTTTTTAGATTTTTCGTTCAATTGACTCCAACTCTGTTAAAGGTTTTCCTAAAGATCCAAAGGAGGCTCCAGACAAGGTAAAAACATTTGTCTCTTACTTCGTTTTTCATCTGTTATAGTGCGATGCTAGTGAATGACGTTATATGTTTACTGCATTAAAACAGAACCTGGTATGTGGGAAGAATGTACTGATAGACATGAGTATACATACAGCTTATGTCAAGGCAATTCGTAGTGCCCAACATTTCATTTACATTGAGAACCAGTACTTCCTTGGTTCGTCGTACAATTGGACCAATTACAAAGACTTGGGTAAGAAAAATCTTACAGAAAATTTACTAATTAGTACCTGGGATATTTAAAACAATTTATGAATGGTGAAGATTAAGCATATCAAAATTTATTTCCAGGTGCAAACAATTTGATACCTATGGAAATTGCTCTAAAGATTGCTAACAAAATCCGAGCAAGGGAGAGGTTTTCAGTCTACATTGTCGTCCCCATGTGGCCGGAAGGTGTTCCTACAAGTACTCCTACTCAAAGAATTCTATTTTGGCAGGTTAAATTCAACAGCATCAGTTCGTTAAAAGAGAATGAAAAGTTATGTAAGATTGATTGATTTCATTAAGAGTTTTTTTTTTTTAAAAAAAATATTTTACAGAGTAACACAATGCAAATGATGTATGAAACTATATACAAGGCCTTGGAAGAGGCAGGACTTGAGAAAATGTATGAACCCCGAGATTATTTGAATTTCTTTTGCCTCGGGAATCGTGAGGCTCACGACGGTGGAAGCATTTCAGATACTGCTAAGAGTTCATCCACAAACACTCCACAGGTACATTTCTCTTAATTTTCTGAATATTTATAAATCTTCAAGTTCATATGTTGCATTTCGTCTTATAAACCCGTGATGTCCATCCAGGTACTCACTCGGAAAAGTAGACGCTTCATGATCTATGTCCATTCAAAGGGAATGATTGTAGACGATGAATATGTGATATTGGGATCTGCTAACATCAACCAACGCTCTCTCGAAGGAACTAGAGATACTGAAATTGCCATGGGCGCATATCAGCCGGGATATACATGGGCTAGCAAGCATACTAATCCACATGGACAGGTAACATTTTCTTCTACCTCATATTGGTTTCAAATGTTTGTGACAGCATATGTGACCTAGTCTGTGCACATTTAAGTGCAGATCTACGGATATAGGATGTCACTCTGGGCCGAGCACACGGGTACACTAGAGCAATGTTTTGAGCAACCCGAGAGTCTTGAATGTGTGAGACGTATCAGATTGATGGCCGAACATAACTGGAAACAGTTTGCAGCGGACGAAGTAAGTGAAATGAAAGGTCATCTACTTAAGTATCCGGTCGAAGTGAATAGAATGGGGAAGGTTCATCCTCTTCCTGGCTGTGAAACATTCCCAGATATGGGTGGCAAAATTGTTGGTACATTCACTGGGATTCAAGAGAATCTCACAATTTGATCAAATCTTTGTATTTTTATTAAGGAATCTTGATTACACTCATTTTTTGTTTCGTTTTTGTTTAAATCAGTCGTTGATATTCAACAAATGTTCCTTGTAAAACAGTGCAGACATTTTTTTTTTTTGTGCTTTAAGAGTTCAAGAAACGTAATTTTCGTAGTGGGATGCAAATTTGGGAATATAATCCTATTTGACCACTGTATAACATCAACATATTCCACGAGTGAATTCTTAGTTTTTTAAAAGGGTAAAGCATATAACGTCCTTACTTTTCACTGTTATTGTGGAAAATGTCCATATTTTTCATTTTTTGATATTTTCTCTCTTATTTTCACATTTCATTGCTTAAAATGTCATTTTCATCAATTTTCTCAATTAAAAGCCTTAAAATAACGAATATATCTTTCTATTTAAATAAAACAAAAAAAGTATAATTAGCACATAATATTATTACTTTTCATTATTATTGTGGAAAACATCCTTACATTTCATTTTTTTAGCCTTTTCACCCTTATTTCCATCTTTCATTGCTCAAAATGTCATTTTCATCCATTTTCTCAATTAAAACTGTGAAATGACGAATATACACTTCTGTTTAAATAAAACAAAAAGAAAGAAAAAACTAATTGCAATCAAAGTCCCTTTAAAAAAAAGTGTAAATGAATCTCAAATAAATTTTTAAAAGGGTAATTAACACTTAATGTCCCTACATTTCACTATTGATGATCCTAATATAGGCATGACCCCGACCATGTTGACCCGAGGAGCAATGCTGCCCATCCCACCAATTTTTGTAGTAACATCCTAGGCAATTGAGCTCGGGGCACATGTATCCTCAGGCACATAAAGGGAACATTCGCGCAACATCGATCTCGTCGGGATATCTCCTCGGGAACAACATTCTCATTCGCTTGGGACATCCTCAAGGTCATGTCTTAATCTCGAACCTAGCAAACTCCGACTTAACAGGACTCTCCTATATGATAAGGCTTATCCAATTCGAATGTGTTTGAGTCCTGCTATAAATATACTATCTATTCCTAAAAGGATTCTACCACTGATGTTTTATCTTTATCCAAAGGCATTGATTGTACAGTACCAATCATTTTAAGCATGGTAAAACTCCTAGGGATTCACCAACATAATCCTATTAGAACTGTACTACTTACCTCTATAAATACAACACTCCAATTTATTATCTAGGTACGTTTTTACATAATTTTCAGCATACATTTTTCAAGAATTTTCTCTCTGACTTAAATATCGGAGGGGCGACGAGAATACACATCGATGTCTTTATTTTAGGTATCGGAACATCTCCTTCGTGCTCGTTCTCAGTCGTCAAGCTCGAAAATCAACATGGACGATTTTTGGTAGCATCAACTATTATTATGAAAAATATCCATACCTTTCATTTTTTCGGTATTTTTACCCTTAATTACACATTTGATTGCACAAACCGATATTTTCATCCAATTTCTTAATAAAATGCCGTGAAATGACGAATATATCTTCATATTTAAATAAAAAAAATAAAGAACTAATTGCAACCATAGTCTCGAATTTTTTTTAAAGTGTAAATAAGTCACAAATAAATTATTAAAAAATTAGGAATTATTTTTTAAAAAAAATGCAAACGAGTCCCAAATAAATTATTTAAAAAATTATTTTTCTTTTTTATATTTAAATAAAAAAATAAAGATCTAATTACAATCATAGCCCTATATTTTTTTTTAAAATGCAAACGAGTCTCAAATAAATTATTAAAAAATTAGAAATAAGAAAAAAAAAATTAAAAGTACAAACAAGTCACAAACAAATTATTAAAACAACTAGAAATTAATATAATTTTTTTTAAAAAAATGCAAACGAATCCTAAATAAATTATTTTAATTTTTTTTATTTAATTAGGATGATATATCCGTCATTTCACAACTTTTATTGAGAAATTAGATGAAAATTGATATAAATGATGGTATGCACAATCAAATGTATAATTAAGGGTGAAAATAAATAAATAAATAAATAAATAAATAAAAGTTATGGACATTCATCACAATAATAGTGAAAAGTGAGGATATTAAGTGTTAATTACCTTTTAGTAATTTATTTGAGACTCGTTTGCATTTTTTTTAAAAAAAAAATTGGGACTATGATTGTAACTAGTACTTTCTTTTTCTTCTTGCTTTACTTAAATAGAAAATTTTATTCGTCATTTCACAACTTTTAATTAAGAAAATAGATGAAAATGACTTTATGCGCAATGAAAGGTTGAAATAATGGTGAAAAAGTCAAAAAAAGAAAGGTAAATACGTTTTCTATGATGATAGTGAAAGTAAGGATGTTATATGCTAATTACCCTTTAAAAAAAATTAAAATTGAAAGCCATTTATTTAGCTACAAATATTGGTACTCATGTTCACCTATCAAAAATTCTCAAGTGAATGGTGAAGTTATTTTATTTTCCCTTGCAGATGTTCGATAGGTAATCGATATGCACTTTCACCTACGTTGTAGTTGAATATCATTAACCTTCATTATAAGAATTTTCTTCGATGAAAGCATTAATAAAAATATTTAATATTTCACATAAAAAAAAGATATTTTTTTAAGTAAAAAATAATAAATTCAAAAAATTATTATCTTTTTTCCGATTTCTTTTATCCCTTTTCACAATTTTGTTTTACGTTAACTTTATGGCATTTGCATTTTCTAATATACAAGAACCAAACAAGAATATGATCAACTAACTCATTAATTGAGTATTGGTTCAACCTAAAATTGTGGTTTAAGATTTCACTTAATATTCTCATTCGATATTGTTCAACTCAAACCCCGTTAACTCCTAAATAACTAAAGAAAAAGGAAAAAGGAAGAACAAAATCCAAATACGCAATAAATATTTTCACCGTTTAGAATTGGAAAACTAATTTTTCAAGTGTATATTTAATAAAATAAAAACTAATTTAATTTTATAAATGTTAAGAATCCTGAAGTTTCTTAATAAATTTGATGTTTTTACCTTAAAATAATATATCGGGTTGGTATTCAACAGTAAATCTAGTTAGGGTGTGTTAGATGGATATTATTGAGGAAATCATATATTTTAAATTGTGATATGATGAGAAATATGTAGTTAAAAAGTAAAGAAAAGTTATTGATATGATAAAAATATTATTTTATTGATAAATGTGTGGTTGAAAATGAATTTTGAAAGAATGTGTGTGCTAAAATATAAACTACTACAATCACTTGAGATATTTTATTGAATTCTCTATGATACTAAATTGACATTTCCTCTTATTTTTGTGGCTAGTTACACGGGCATATTTGTCATTAAATAAATTACCAAGGAGTAATAAGGGGGTGCCAACGAAAGAATGGTTAATTATATTTACAAATTTTTTTTTATTTTTTGCACCATATTTTAATTGCACTTAAGATTTTTAATCTTTATTTATTATAGCGTTTATGTCTTTAACGATTTTTCATGTCATTTCCATCCTCAAAACTTTTTATTAGTTAGCACATTTTGTATTTGATAACAATTTTATGTTCAAAAGTCCGTTAAAACGACATAAAACAACTTATTTTTCCACAATATTTTTAAAAATAAATAAATAAAAAGTATGAAAAAATAATTTTTTTTTCCCCATTTCAAAGCATGAAAACAAAAGATTCAGCTATAAATCATCATCAAGAATAAAAAGTATAAATTAATAGAATGTTGAAAATAAAAATTTAATGAAACAAATTAAAAAAATAATTGTTACAATGAAAAATGATTGATGAGCTTAATTGTAATTAAAATATGATGTATAAAATAAAACAATCGCGCTACATTGTCAGACAATTTTGACAACTTCATTGATGGAATGTTACGTGACATTCTGTCATTAATCAATTTAAAAAAAGTCTCTCCGATCACTTGTTATCGCACCTTATTCTGTCATTCAATATATTAAAAATATTTGACAAAATAAATTAATTCAAAAATCAAAATCCGTATAATAATTCCAATATTCCTATATGCAAAATCACAGTATTATATAACCCGTCTTTCACAAACCACACTCAAAATTCTTCACTATGGTTGCCACGGCAAACGGCTCAGGCAAGCCCTACAAATTCCTGATCTACGGACGCACGGGATGGATTGGTGGTCTCCTCGGGAAGCTCTGTGAATCTAAACAGATCGAATACGTTTACGGGTCGGGTCGGTTGGAGAACCGGGCCTCCCTTGAGTCCGACGTCGTCTCGGTTCAACCGACCCATGTATTCAACGCCGCCGGCGTCACCGGCCGACCTAATGTCGACTGGTGCGAGTCCCACAAGGTGGAAACCATTAGGACAAATGTTGTCGGCACCTTGACGCTAGCTGACGTCTGCAGGGAGAAGGGGCTGATTTTGATCAACTATGCCACGGGATGTATTTTTGAGTATGATGAGGCGCACCCGCTCGGGTCAGGTATTGGGTTCAAGGAGGAGGACACCCCGAATTTCATCGGATCATTTTACTCCAAGACGAAAGCAATGGTGGGTAATGTTTGAATTTATCGTTATGTTTGTGTTTATGTATTTATTATAAATATTAAGATCTATATGTTATAGTTCTAGATCTCGAAACTGGATCTTCGTTTATTATTTATATTTCCAGTTAGATTTGTTTATTGAACTAACATTTTTCACAATGTTGCAATGATGCATTAACGTGGTGATTTGAAATCAATTTATGCTTACATAGGCATCAGTTCTTAACTTGCTGACACTCAGTTACAGTTAGAGAACTTCATTAGATTGTCAAAAATTCCAACCCTGCATTTGAATAAATCACAGATGGGATGTATTAAGTCAAGACGAATCTATTTTTTGTGATCTCGAGTCTTGACAGTTCAGATTACTACACCGAGGGCACCATGGAATGAATCACATTGATTGAGTAAATTTTAAGTATATGAAAGATATAACCTTGAGGGTTGCTCAATTGGTCAGCCTTGGGTTTGCTCTCAATGGTCACCCGTTCGAGTGTTTTTAGGGCCACTGAGGTGAGTACCCAACCGTAAACCTTAGGGCCCCGTGAAATTAGTCGAGGTGCGCGCAAGCTCACCCAACCATCCACGGTTAT